CGGGTCACAAGAGTGTGACAAACATGAATAAGAAGTAGAGGAAAAATGACGATATTGAGGATTGGGAAACAAAAAGCAGCAGTTCCCCGTTGCCGTTCAGGCACAGTTATGAGCATGACATTGGTGAATCAGCCCATTTACAATTCTACTGTACATAAGAACATGTTAATATACCTCCTTTAGGAATGGCCTAAAGACACTTCAGTCAGAAGCACCGCCCCGGGGGGTAAAATATTAAATTATAATTTGAATATCGACATAATATTTTTTAAGCATAAACAACTGTTGTCACAGATTAAGAAACTGAAATTTAAAAAAAAAATTTTTTTTTGGGCAGAGTACATTTTAACCGATGGCAGATGCAATACTACACTGTCAGGCTAATTTTGGAGACCTTCCTGACCTAGTAACCTAGAAAAGGCCAAGTAAATAAAACATGTCTGTTCTTTGTGAGATGTCTAGGTGTTTTTTTTGTTTTTTTGTTTCCTCTATTTATAACGGATATCTTTCCACTTGCACTACAGCTGTCTTTGTATCAAACCTTCATTTTTTCTTGACATTTTGGCGAGCAGTGCACACTTGTAAGTTAAGAATCATGTTTTTTTTAAAATGAAGAAAATGCTGCCGTTTTTTTTAAATTTTCAACTGAACAAGCTGCGACAAAAACAGGGAGAGGGCCTTTGACTTGAGAGGATATGGCGTTTGCCAGCAACTGAATTAAAAACCTTATTAATTCTGAAAATCAGATACGTTGAACCTGCTGGGAGAACATACTGAGAAGGGGATTTTTTTGTTTTCAAAAGAAGGAAAGAAAAACCATAATCGCCATCAGATTTGATCTCAAACGTGTGTCATATTCGTAATCAACTTCACCACTCGGATTGACGTCTACATGTTGGACGTAATTTGTCATTTTTACGAACCCATTCCTCTAAACATCAACGAGTGTGCTTCGTTAACTCCAGTTGCTATGCTTCTGAGAAAAGGTGCAGATGACTTTGATTATCCCCTAATGATGCGTTCCTTCCCAAACGTGGTTTATTCGAGGAGTTTCAAAGATTCTCCATCCTCTTGGCTGTTTATTTTTTTCACCTGTAGAAAAAATTTGAAGAGACCATATAGATATCTACACAGTTGGAGTATAACACTATCTATAACTCAAGTTTTGTTGACTTCATCGTCCTAACAGCTGCAGAATTCATGAAGAACGAGCAATTTGGTCCTGGGGACATTGAGAGTATCGTCCACGGAGGTCATCACGTACATGGCGAGGATGCACGTCCCGATGAGCAGGCGGGAACTGGTGACCTAGAGCGCATTGTGCACGGGGAAGATGGCGTACATGATCACGGGGAGGAACAGGAAGATAAGGTGAGTGGGTGTGCTTGTGGAAAGGGATGGAGAGAGATAGATAGAGAGAGATAGATAGATAGAGAGAGATAGATAGATAGATAGATAGAGAGAGAGAGAGAG